TGGCAACTCATCTGCTTTTGCCCCCAGCCTGCACTTGGGCAGAATCCAGGGCAGATTCTCATGAATGTAGGAATGGTGTCTGAAGGCTTATTCAGGAGCCACCAATCATGATGTCTTCAGCATTTTCTATTATGACGTTCAGTTACAAACAGGTACACATGTATGAGGAGAAACAGAGGGCAAGGGATGTAAGACGATGCTTGCTTCTCCTGCCCTGGTAAAACGTCCTTTCCCGGCAATATTAGCTCCATTGGTGGAATGGTTGTCTATGACAGGAAGAGGTCGTGCGGGTAGGAGGAAACCAGTTTCCCCGCATCCTCACTAGCATTTGGTGGTGTCACTTTTTAAATTTTAGCTGCTTTTTTTTTTTTTTTGGAGACAGAGTCTCGCTCGATTATCCAGGCTGGAATGCAATGGCGTGATCTCAGTCACTGCAACTTCCGCCTCCTAGGTTTAAGCTATTTTCCTGCCTCAGCCTCCTGAGTAGCTGGGATCACAGGTGCGTGTCACCACCTTTGGCTAATTTTTATATTTTTAGTAGAGATGGCGTTTCACCATGTTGCCCAGGCTGGTCTCTAACTCCTGTCCTGGTGATCTGCCCACCTCAGCCTCCCAAAGTGCTAGAATTACAGGCATGAGTCACTGTGCCTTGCCTGTAGCTGTTTTTTAAATTTTAGGTAGAAAGGGATTAAAACCATTGTGCATTCAAGCCACTAAGCAACTTGCATTTCTGTAACACTAATGATGTGAAATGTCTTTTCACATGCTCATTTGCTATCTGTATATCCTCTTTGGTGAAATAATCTGTTTATGTCTTCTGCCCACTTTCTAGCTGAATCTTTTTTTAACTGTTGAGTTTTAACAATGTTAAAATGTTAGCTGGGCATGGTGGCATATGCCTGTAATCCCAGCTACTCAGGAGGCCAAGAAAGGAGAACTGTTTGAACCCAGGAGGCAGAGGTTGCAGTGAGCCGAGATTGCGCCACTGCACTCCAGCCTGGGTGACAGAGCGAGACTCTGTCTCAAAAAAACAAAAACAAAAACAAAACAGCTTTATTGAGGTATAAGTGACATAAGATAAACAGCAAATATTTTTTTAAATGTGAAAATGTAGTCTATATACTGTTTCTTTGTTAGATATGTAATTTGCAAATATTTTCTCCAGTCAGTAGCTTGTTTTTGCATCCTTTTCACACAGGCTTCTGCAGAGCAAAATTTTAAATTTTGATGAAGTCCAGTGCAACCATTTTCACTTATATGGATTAGGCTTAAGGTGTCAAGTATAGGAATTTTGCCTATCCCTACATCTGGAAGATTTTCTCCTATTTTTTTCCTAAAAGTTTTATGGTTTGACATTTTACATCTAAGTTCGTGATGCTTTTTGAGTTAATTTTTGTATTAGGTGTTGTAGGGCTGTTGGCCCCACAGGGTCATGGGGTGTCCCTTATGCTGTGCTGAGGTGCAGGATCTGAGAATTAAAGAGATAGGACACGGAAGAACTGGAGAAGAGCAGCTGGACTCAGGGGGCCATACCACCTATGAGTGGAGATCAGTGAGGCACCGAATGTGCAGAAGCATCTGTATTTATTAGGTACAAGCAGGGGAAAGGGTCGTGAGTGAGGTCATCATCTATAGGCTTAGTGATAGGACATACAGAATCACGTAGTAACAAGCGAGGGGGCCACCTGTATGTCACCTGAGCTGAGAGGTAGGCCATGCGCAGTAGGGGGCTATGCTGGGTACAGTAGTAGAGGGTCATGTACAAAAAGGGGTCCACCCCCATTAGGTCACTGAGGCAAGGACGTGGGCTATGTGCAACACTTTTTATGTGGGGGCTGGAGACTTCAAAGGATTTCTAATAGAAAGATACTGTAAGCCAATGCAGTGGGAGCTGACAGACTTGTGCTCTTCTCTAAGATATTTATGGGAGGATGATTTGAGCTAGCACAGAAGTGAGAAAAGGCTGACAGGGTGTACCACCGCCATGACCCAGTCACACCAGAGGGGTTCTTCTCCCTCTGTTATTTGCAGTGTCTCAGGCCTGAGGCCTACTTTCCACAGGAACTGGACGTAAGGTACTCCAAATCCTTTCTCGGAAGCAGAGGCTCTTGCTCCAAGCCTGCCATACATCGTATGCCCTTTCAGGCAGGGATGCCACCGCCTGGGTCTTTGGTTCTTGTCCTGGTCTGGCTGTTTTCCCATGTACTGCTTCCGCTCTGTGACTGCTCTAGGCATTCCTCCTACTACAAACTACTATATGGTTATATGGAAGGATTATATAAATCAGTACTAAATGTGTCGGTACAGCTCTGACTACAATACCTATATGATTATATAGAAAGATTATATGGAATTAAGTATGCTAGATATAAGTACTAAGTGTGATTATATAAGCTAGATATATGTAAGCAGTAAGTTATACTTCAGACACGAATTCTGTAAACTAATATATGATTATATGTAAAGGATTATATAAAGGAAAGAGCTGAGTAATAACACTATAAACTAAGATACTCTTCAAGCACTAATTGTGCCTGGGGTCTGCACAGCTCTCCTTCCTTGGGGCCCCTGTGGTGTGAGGTTTAGGCACCATTTCTTTCTTTCTTCCCTGTGGACATCTTATGCAATCTTATGAAACACCAAATGCTTCATACCATTTGTTGAAAAGACCATCCTTCTGGCCAGGTGCAGTGGCTCACATCTGTAATCCCAGTGGAGGAGGGCAGACCACGAGGTCAGGAGACAGAGACCATGCTGTGCAATATGGTGAAACCCTGTCTCTACTAAAAATACAAAAATTAGCCAGGTGTGGTGGTGGGCACCTGTAGTCCCAGCTACTCGGGAGGCTGAGGCAGAAGAATCGCTTGAGCCTGGGAGGCGGAGGTTACAGTGAGCTGAGATTGCGTCATTGCACTCCAACCTGGAGACAGATGGAGACTCCTTTTCAAAAAAAAGAAAGAAAAAGAAAAGACTATCCTTCCTCCATTAAATTGTTTTTGTACTTTAGTCAAAAATTAATTGAGCCACAAAGAAGCGGCTTCTCCGCTCCTTCTGGAATCTCACTCCTGCCTCCACCATGTCCATCACAGTGACCCAGAAGTCCTACAAGGTGTCCATCTTTGGCTCCTGGGCCTTCAGCAGCCACTCCTACATGAGTGGGCTCAGTGCTGCATCAGCTCCTTCAACTTCTCCCCATTGGACAGAAGCAGCTTCCGGGGTGGCCTGGGCAGAGCCTATGGTGGGACCAGTGGTATGGGAGGCATCACCGCCGTCATGGTCAACCAAAGCCTGTTAAGCCCCCTTAACCTGGAGGTGGACCCTAACATCCAGGCCATGTGCACCCAGGAGAAGGAGCAGATCAAGACCCTCAACAACAAGTTTGCCTCCTTCATCAACAAGGTGCGGTTCCTGGAACAGCAAATGAGATGCTGGAGACCACATGGAGCCTCTTGCAGCAGCAGAAGACGGCTCGGAGCAACGTGGACATGTTCGAGGGCTACAGTGACAACCTTCAGCAGCATCTGGAGACTCTGGGCCTGGAGAAGCTGCAGCTGGAGGCGCGGCTTGGCAGCATGCAGGGGCTGGTGGAGGACTTCAAGAACAAGTATGAGGATGAGATCAATAAGCTACAGAGATTGAGAATGAATTTGTCCTCATCAAGAAGGATGTGGATGAAGCTTACATGAACGAGGTAGAGCTGGAGTCTCACTTGGAAGGGCTGACTGACAAGATGACCTTCCTCAGGCAGCTGTATGAAGAGGAGATCTGGGAGCTGCAGTCCCAGATCTCCGACACGTCTGTGGTGCTGTCCATGGACAACAGCCCCTCCCTGGACATGGACAGCACCATCGCTAAGGTCAAGGTGCAGTATGAGGAGATCGCCAACCACAGCCGGGCTGAGGTGAAGAGCATGCACCAGATCAAGTACAAGGAGCTGCAGATGAGGCTGGGAAGCATGGGGATGACCTGCAGCGCACAAAGAGTGAGATCTCTGAGATGAACTGAAACATCAGCCGGCTCCAGGCTGAGATTGAGGGCCTCAAAGACCAGAGGGCTTCCCTGGAGGCTGCCATCGCAGATGCCAAGCAGCATGGGGAGCTGGCAGTTAAGGATGCCAATGCCAAGCTGTTCAAGCTGGAAGTCCCCTTGCAGTGGCTCGAGCAGGACACGGCGAAGCAGCCGCATGAGTACCAGGAGCTGCTGAATGTCAAGCTGGCCCTGGACATCGAGATTGCCACCTACAGGGGGCTGCTGAAGGGCGAGGAGAGCTGGTTGAAGTCTGGGATGCCAAACATGAGTATCCATATGACGATCACCGGTGGCTGTGCAGGTGATCTGAGCTTGGCCTATGGGGGCCTCACAAGTCCCAGCCTCAGCTACGGCCTGGGCTCCAGCTTTGACTCTGGCACAGGCTCCAGCTCTCTCAGCCACACCAGCTCCACCAGGGACGTGGTTGTGAAGATCAAGACCCGCAATGGGAAGCTGGTGTCAGAGTCTTCTGACGTCCTGCCCAAGTGGACAGCCGGGGCAGCCTCTCCCAGCCTGCGCCTCCTGCGGCTGCCCCAGAGCCTGGGAGGGAGGCTGCTGTGCAGGGGGCCATCCTTAACGAGATCCTTAACCACCTGAGGCTCAGTCCTAGCACTCAGCCCACCGCAGGGGAGTTTACTGCCTGGGGACCACCCTTGCCCATGCCTCCAGCTATAAAACAATTCAATTGCTTTTTTTTTTTTTTGTCCAAAATAAAACCTCAGCTAGCTCTGCCAAAAAAAAAAAAAAAAAAAAAAAGAAAGAAAGAGAAAAATCCATTAAGCGCGCTTGTATGGGCCTATTTCTTGATTCTCAGTTCTTTTCCATTGACCTCTGTGTCTGTTCCTCTGCTAACACCACATTGTTTTTGTTACTAATTAGTAGCTTTAATATTGTGTCGAGTCCTCTTACGTTACTCTTTTTCAGATAGATAGTTGTAGCTATTCTAGAGCATGTCCCCTTTTTTTTTTCAGATGGAGTCTTGCTCTGTCCCCAGGCTGGAGTGCCCTGGCGCGATCTCAACTCACTACAACCTCTGCCTCCCGGGTTCAAGAAATCCTCTTACCACAGCCTCCTGAGTAGCTGAGATTACAGGCATGCATCACCATGCCAGGCTAATTTTTCTATTTTTGGTACAAATGGGGTTTCACCATGTTGGCCAGGCTTGTCTCGAATTCCTGGCCTCAAGTGATTTAGCCTCGCGGCGTCCCACAGTGCTGGGATTACAGGCAGGAGCCACCACACCTGGCCTAGGGCACGTCCTTTCTATATAAATTTTAGAATGAGCTTATCTATATCTACAAAAAAGCCTTGCTGAGATTTTAATAGGAATTGCCTTAAACCTACAGATTGATTTGGAGAGAACTGATATCTTTACTATGTTGAATCTTCCAATTCATGAACATAAGATATTTTTCCACTTATTTAAGCCTTCTTTGATTTCTTTCGTTAGCATTTAGTGCTTTTCAACATATAGATCCTGTACATGTTTTATTAAGTGTACACCTGAGTATTTAATTTTCTTTGGAGTAATTATAAATGGTAGTAAGATTAAAGGTTTTTATTAATTGAGTTATTAATAACAACAAACAAAAGGCACAGATCTTAAATGTGCAGTTATGAGTTTTGGCAATTGTACACATTCATATCATCACTACCCACAACAACAAATAGACTGTTTCCATTACTGCAGAAAGTTTGTAGCGCCCTGTACCTCTTTCTACTGTATTTCCAGTCCTGTCCTCACGCCTACTTCATAACCAGGTCTTCCGTTTTTCCAGTGCTAAGGCCTCATACCTGGAGTTTTACATCATCTTAGGATAGATTGTCCCACATGAAGGAGGCTATCTGCAGTGATTTATGTTGGAACAATGACATATTGAAGTCAATTCATACATTTTGTGGCCTTGTTTAAAAATGCTCCTACTAGTAATTAAAATTGTAAAGACTTTTTCTTGCGAAAGTATAAAGTGATGCTTTTTTCTATTTTGAACATTATGAGTTTAAAAGCTCATTATTCTGATATAAAATTTTATTCTGCATGTTTTAACTATGTAGGGAAATACGTATGGACAGAAATAAAACTAGGAAGAAGTATAGATGTTTCTTTATACTTCTTTGCATTTTCCAAATTTTATGCTACAACCGTAAAAATGAAAAGCATAAATGTTATGCTTTCATGGGTATAATAAAGCAGTATCATCATTGTAAAATGTACTTATTTTTTGATAATTATGTTAAGTCTTTTTATATTTATTTTGATCAAAGCGTCTTAGAGCTGTGTTTCCAATTAAGAAGTCCCAGGGTCTGCAAGCTCAGTGGCACTGTCCTGTTTCTTCTCACATAAATGCTAATTGCTGTGGACAATGACACAGTCCTGGGGAAGAACCCATGAGAGATCATTAAAGATAAAAGAGATTATTTACCATGTTTGTTTCACTCCCAGGAACAGGCAAAGTTTTTTTTTCCTCAAGGTTTTATTTTTATTTTTTTGAAACAGAGTCTTGCTCTGCCATCTAGGCTGGAGCAATTCTTCTGCCTCAGCCTCCCAAGTAGCTGTGATTACAGGCACCCGCCACCACACCCGGCTAATTTTTTGTATTTTTAGTAGAGATGTGGTTTTTCCATGTTGGCCAGGCTGGTCTCAAACTCCTGAACTCAGGTGATCCACCCGCCTTGGCCTCCCAAAGTGCTGGGATTACAGGTGTGAGCCACTGCGCCCAGCCTCAAGGTTTTAATTTACACTTTTTCCATCTCATAATGTGTAGTGATCATAAAATTGTCTTCATTCTTTTTTTTTTTTTTTTTGAGGAAAGAAAATGGGTAGTGATTAAAAAAAATAATGGCAGCTTAGATTCACAACAGCTATGATATGAAAGACTTATCTGACCGTGTGTTGTCGAGACCTGAACACTCAAAATAGCTCCACAGTGTTGTCAAGCAGTCACACTTCAGGCAGCAAGCTCGTTGTTGAGTTCGTTTTTGATTTATGTGAATTCCCTATTTGTGGTTACTCTAAAATGAATTGCCAAACTGCTTTATTGATAACTGTGCTTACATAAATAAGTATAACTATTTTAATCGCTTAACGTCTGATTAGAATCACTATTGCTAATCTTCTGATTAAATATTTTAATGAAACGTAATTGGTAGAGCTCAGTTACGATGTAATAACCTTTTTGGAGGGAATATTCTAATAAAAGTTGATAGCAGCAATGTTTACGAGAACTTTCTGTATGACAGAAGTGTTCTCTGTGCCGTCCAGCGTGGCAGCCACCAGCCATATGTGGCTACTAGACGTGTGAGATGTGGCTAGTATGACTCAGGAATTGAATTTTACATTTTCATTTTAAATTAATTATAATTTTGATTTAAATAGCCACATGTGGCTAGTGGCCACTATATTAGATGGTGAAGGTTTAAAGAATAAGGCTTAAAACCAAAATGAAAGTCTGCTCCTACTATACAAGGTTTTTTGCCTTCTATGAATTGGAAATTTAGTGTCTAAGAATCACTGATATTAGTAAATTTGTGATAAACAACAGACTTTATTGAGACCAAAGCAGTAAAATGATCATTTGTTTTCATCTTTCGTGTGATTTATGGGAATATTCGGCCAAAGAAGGATGTTTTTCTTTTCTGATACAAAAGGAAGAGATCAATTCAGCAGAATTCATATTGTTTTAACTCACATGTCGTCAGTAAGTTATTATTAGCCTCAGATGGCCTGAAAATAATGACTAAGATGAATATTTGTGTGTTTTGGTGTCAGACTCATTTCCATATAATTAGTCATGAACCACCTCGTGGTATTTCAGACAGTGGCAGACCACATGTATAATGGTGGTCCCATGAGATTATGATACCATGTCTTCATTGTACCTTTTCTACGCTGAGACCTGTTCATATGCACACACACTCACTGTTGCTACAGTTGTCTCCAGCACTCAGCACAGTAGGCTGTGGGACAGCTTTGTAGCCCTGAGCAGCAGGCTCCACCACATATACTCGTGTGCAGCAGGCTGTACCAGCTGGGTGTGTGTGAGTGTGCTCCTTTATTTCACACAACACAACTGCCCAACAATGCATTTTGAGGCGGAGTCTTGTTCTGTTGCCCAGACCAGAGGGCAGTGGTGTGCTCTTGGCTCACTGCAACCTCTGCCTCCTGGGTTCAAGCAATTCTCCTGTCTCAGCCTCTTGAGTAGCTGGGATTACAGGCACGTACCACCATGCCCAGCTAATTTTTAGTAGAGTCAAGGTTTCTCCTCCATGTTGGCCTCAAACTCCTGACCTGAGGTGGTTTGCCTGCCTCGGCCTTCCAAAGTGCTGGGATTATAAGTCTGAGCCTACACACCCTGGTGGCACCATTCTTTTCTTTTTTTTAAGATGGAGTCTTGCTGTGTCACCCAGGCTGGAGTGCCGTGTCACAAAATTGGCTCACTGCAGCCTCCACCTCCCAGGTTCAAGCGATTCTCCTGTCTCAGCCACCTGAGTAGCTGGGATTACAGGTGCACACCACCACACCTGGCTAATTTTTGTATTTTTAGTACAGATGGGTTTCACCATGTTGGCCAGGCTGGTCTCAAACTCCTGACCTCGTGATCTGCCCACCTTAGCCTCCCAAAAGTGCTGGGATTACAGACATGAGCCACCACCCCCGGTCCATCCATTCTTAATGGAAGACTTCCCTTCATCATTTTCTTTACACACTCTGACCACTCCTTCCTGCATTTTCTCTTGTGTTCTCTATTGCAGGAATGGAAACAGCTTTAGGGGAAGGCTTGCTTTGTGGTATTATCAAGATGACAATGTTCTAACCCCCCAAGCAGCAGTTTTGCAGTTGGAAAGGACCTCAGCCCTTCTACCCTGATCCCAGTGGCTTTGCATTCAGACTATTAGGCCTGGACAGCCCCATGGATACCATTGCTTGGCCTCTGCCACCTTTCAACAGGGACTTGCAGGAGATGAAGAACACTCAAATCCTCACGCGTCATTCCACATCCGGGTTCCTCACTTAGACGCACACACTGAAGAACGTCTGCATTCACCTTCTTGACGAGGGGTCTAGATCTCCTTTGGTCCGTTCTCCCTCCCTAGCAGGGCACATTTTTCAGCAGAAATTTCTAAAGCAATCAGCTGAAGACGTCACACCTGAGTAACCTAGACGTCCTCCTGGTTGGCTGCCTCCTAGATTTTGTGGAGCAAGACAGCTGAGCCTTCCCTGCTCCTGGGAATGGCTGGCCAGGAGGGCCTGTGTGCCCACATTTTAAGTGGGGTTGAGAACAAGCCTTGGGCATCTTCAGAAACCTTGACATAGTTTAGCTGCTTCCTCTTTCTGGCAGGACTCCAGGTATAGCCATAGAAGGCTCCATGCACAAAGCAAAGACACCCTTGAGGGCAGCAAACCACTGACTAACCACAAAACCGGCTCTAACATATCCAGCTCTTGGGCATGATGTTGCTTATACAATGGGCTCAACAAAACTGATACACAGACAAAGACAGCTTAGGTAGGCCCTTTTGACAATGATTCCTGAAGACAACAGCACTGTGGCTGCTTTAGGAAATTAACAGCAAATGTGTGAAAATTTCTCACCTTCTTAAAACCTGTGAATCACCATCTACTCTGGGAGTGGGAAACTCATTTGGTTTTGGCTAGAGCTTTCACTGGGACAACAGTCTGTTCACGGAAGGTCTGAACGCTGCAGAGAGCTTCATAGGTCACGTGTGCTAGCATGCAGATCAGCTAGGAGGCTTCGAAAGAAGTGTGCCCTCCACCACGTAAAAAGACCCTAGGGTGCATTTCTGTAAGATTCTAAGTAAAAATATTCATTTAGTTACAGCCATAATTAAAACAGAATTCAGACCAGCCTTAATTTTATTACTTAGAATTTTTATCAAATACTTACTGATACAATTCCCGGCAAATCTCATGTTGACTTGTGATCCCCAGTGTTGGAGGTGTGGCCTGGTAAGAGTATTTGGATCATGGGGGCGGATCCCTCATAAATGGCTTGGGTCATCCCCTTGGTGATGAGTGCACTCTCTCTCTGAGTTCACAGGAAATTTGGTCATTTAAAAGGGTGTGGCGCCTCCGCCCCAACTCTCTCCCTTACTCCTGCTCTTGCATGTGATGTGCCTGCTCCCGCTTTACCTTCCACAATGATTGAAAGCTCCCTGAAGCTTCATCAGAAGCCAGGCAGATGCCAGCACCATGCTTCCTGTAAAGCCTACAGAACTGAGCCAAATAAACCTCTTTTCTTTATAAATTACCCAGTATCGGTATTTTTTCACAGCGATGCAAGAATGGCCTAAAACACTTACATCGTACTTACTGTATG